TGTGTGTGTGTGTGTGTGTGTGTGTGTGTGTGTGTGTGTGTGTGTGTGTTTTCAAGGTTCAGGTGCCTGGGGAACGGTAACTCCAGAGCAACCAAGTGGGGGCCGGCGGGACCTCCTCCCATATCCTTCTATATCACTAGCCAGCGATCAGGTTGGGAGCTGGTTTCTTTTCCAGCTTGCCCAGGCTTGGTTCCAGCAGCCCTGCTGCTTCTTCCGGCCCTGGGTGCTCGCCTTTCCTCTTCTCTTAGCAACCGGGAGTCTGTGGACGCCACCAAGCAGCAACTGGGAGGCTGCAGGGAGCGCGGGCGGGCAGGCAAGGAAGGGAGGCACCCAGCCCAGGTGCTCTGAGCCCCACCGCTGCAGAGCAAAGCCACCGCTAGCCGCATCTGCGCCTGCAGCGGGGTCCAAAAGGGATTCAGCAAAAATGAGCCATTCTCACCCCGCTGGGTAAGTGACAACTGGAGCTCTGCCTAACCGAGGCAGGTGTCGGCTCCAGCCAGCGGCCCTCCTCCTCCCTCTTGCTGCGGAGCTCAGGGGCGACAGAGAGGGAGAGGGAGAGGGAGGGTGGGCTGAGCGAGGGGGAAACATGCTGATTCTAGGTTGCAGGAGGATGGCAGAAATCCCAGGCGTCCTATCTCCTCCCTGCCCATCCTCGCTTCTTCATAATGTTCCCCTCTCTTGAAATTCTCAGCCTGGAAAGACGGGGAAAATGGATGTGAAAACCGCTTACAGTAAGCAGGGATAGACGTCAACGCCAAGGGGATGCAAATCTCTCAATGTGGAACACAAGCGTTTAAAAACTAATGCAGAAGTTACCGAAATACGTGTTTGTGGGGAGATTTGAGGCAGAGATAAATTTTCTCCATGGCTTCTCTGTGTCTTGTAAACAAAGGAGAGGTTGTTTTCATGCCCAGGGTCTCCCTGTAGGAGGGAGAGACCCCATATGTCAGAACTGTATCTTCCCGGTCACAGAAGCACGTGAGAGTTCTTTAGAACCATCTGGACCCAGGAACGTGGTGGATACGGGAAAGCAAGAGATCAGGGAGTGAGGTGCCCACGCACCCACACATGGTCTCCTGGGGATAAGGCAACCCTTCCGGAGGCCTATTAGCAACATTCAGTGCCTTGCCCACAGTGAATGGTCTTTGTTGGTTAGTTATTTCACACACCAACACGGTCTCCGTTATTTGTGCCTTCTGAATTAAGCGTGCGATACATACGATACCCATTTTTATTACCACATTATTATCAAACCGATCACTCCCTTCCCCGCTTTGGTTTCGCGATTAGGTTGAAGCTCTTCGGCTGCATTTATTACTACACATGTTGAAGAACAGCCGATTGGCAGAAGATACCCTACTTAGGATCGCAGGGAGACGGTGGCGTCTGAGACACCGTAGTCCTTAGTGCTCTTAGGTCTACAACCAAACTTGAAGATTTCACTTTTTAATGCGTTCTCTGAATGAAGGGACAAGCATCAGTAATGTGTGAACGATCCAAAAATGTCCTCTTGGAAGTTAGCTCCAGAACATTCTAGAAACTAAGGGAATTGTGCTAAATTGAATTTCAGAGCTTTAATGTTTGGCTGCTGAGTTCCTGAGCAATTGTTGTTGGCCACGGTCCGGTGGGACCGGGCTGATAATGATTTCTGCAGATGCACTTGGCACTTTGTCCGAATTCAGGAAAATGAATGTGTCAGTCATGGTCTCTTCCTATGCTTGTCAAGTCCTTGGCTAGGCTCGCATCTTATTAGTCCATTTATCCATTTATGTGAAAATACAGACAAACCTGTAGCTGCTTATTACACTGTGCCAATATTAAAATTTCAGAAACTGAAGTCCAATTTCTCTGAAGCTCCAGGAGTTCTGAGCATGTGGAGAAAGGGGCCCTAATGAAAGTGTGTGCTGTGTGGTACTATTCAGGGAGGGATTACGCGGGAATGCAATGTCCATCCTGCGCTAACATGCAAAGTTTCCTGAACTATCAGCTCCATGCCCTATATGCTTTATCTCCCTGTGTCTGGGATCGTTCAGTCTTAGGTGAAGCTCAGTAATTGCTGGTTGGATGAATAATACTGGCTGATGGGGCATGTGGTCACAAAAGAAAACCTTGTTAGTGCTGCTTCTTGGTACTTCCATAGCCAGAGTCCTTTCTGAGGTGTGCATGAATCTCTCATTCAAAGGCTCTCATGACTGCCATTTCCACAGACAATGCTGCTTAGGATGGAGACATATACAAACGTGGTACAGCTTGGAAGGGAGAGGGCTGAAACACAAGGCCAGCATCTCCAGTACGCTCGTGTCCTTCATCATTCCGTTCCACAGTCTAACAGGCATAACCACGAATGTCGGGAAATTCCATCCAGGATAGATCAGCCTCTGAAGGATCACAGTCATAGGGATCAAGTGTTTTGATATATGATGGCAATAGTTTTGTAGTAGTGCCTAGTATAAGTATAAATGTGTTTTGTTTTGCTCATAAAAATAAATGTATGTTGGGTGCAGGGCATACACTTAAATCCCAGCACTTGGGAAGCAAAGGTAGGCAGATCTCTGTGATTTCAAGACCAACCTAGTCTACACAGTGAGCTCCAGGCTAGCCACGGCTACACATTGAGGTCCTGAGACCCCGTGTCAAGACAAGGCAATAAATAAAAAAGTAAATAAAATAAATGGAAACAGTGAACAGAAACATATTTAGTCTACATGCCTTAAAATTCACCCAGTAGCAAAAGCATTCCAGATTGCTCAAGTCTCCCCCTCGAATAAAGGGAGTAATAATTTCTCTTGCCTGTTACCATTTGGAAATAATAAAAGTTTGAGTAGCAAATAAAAGGTTTCATCAAAGCTGAGAAGTCTTCTCCATCATTACTGAGGCACTTTGTACTTATTACATTTTAAAGATAAAGTGGTCATAAAGTTAGGTTTTACAACAGATATTGTAAGTCTGAAATTTCCTCAGTCAGTGAGTGGTGTCTGGTGCCTTCTCTTGGCTTCGTCTTTGCTCTGAGTTACTTGCCTACTTAATTATACCATGAAAACACAGACTATAAAAACCACACAGGCCCACGCTGGCTTCATTTGGATAGAGTCTGGGAGTAAATAAAATGGTCCTAAAAAGTCTTTCAAAGACAACAGAGACTTCAGGTCTCAACCGCCTCTCCCTTTGGTGGATGCCAGCTATGAAACCCGATTGCCCGTACCACAGTCCCCAAGGAAGGTAGCTGAGACTAAACGACTTTATTTCATAGCCCCTCAACTTTGCTCGGCCCTACCCACATTGCTGTTTGTGCTTGTGGGTTGGGCACCACGCCTCAAGGTGGAATAGGAATCTTAAATCCTTCTACCATGGATGAGAATAAAAAAATATGACTCTTCATGTTCATCAGTCAATCCCCTCAAATTTGGCTGTGTGAGGGATCCACTTGACTTAAAACAGCCATCGAAGATATATCTTTGAGCATAAAGGGTAGGGGATTTATACCCCATGATAAGGGCAGCCAATGTATGCTTTTCAGGGTAGTTCTGTCTGATAGCTCCAGAGAGCCAAAATGTGGCCCATTTTGCATTTCCAGAGGTATGTATCTTCAAAGGTGGCGGCGTAATCTAGCAAGTGTTCACAATAGGTGTGCCCATTACCTGAGTGACCTTTGGGGGTCTTCCTCTCCATTCTTCATAATGTAGTTCTCTGCAGGAAATTATAGTTTGCTGCTCACATCTATCCCCCAAATCATCTCAAATGCAGAAATATTTGATACTTTTAAATATTTGAATTCAAATTTGGCAGTTTTTATTAGCCTTGCCAAATGCCTACAGGCTCGTTTTGGAAGCAGGTTAGCTCTAGGTGGGTTTAACAGGCTCACTTGTCCTGGCTTCTCCTGACATGTCATAGGTCTTATTCTTTTCACTAAAGATAACGCTTCCTGTGGCTGAACACACCCACTCATGCACACAGATGGGAGTGGAGAGGCATTTGTCCTGAAAACGCTAAGTACTTTGAACTCCTTCAAGAGATGCTTATCAAAATTACTGCCATCTGTCACCAGAAATGTTCCCTGTTAGCTGTGGATGATGACCCAATGAGTTCAACTGCTCTGGATGCAGAGGGCTGGAAGCGACTGGGTTTGGAATCAGACTTGTTGCCCAGGATAGACGGTGCTTGTTGTGACAACGTCTAGAATCTCCTGCGACGTGCCTCTTTGCCTTTCTACTTTGCTAAGCTTGATGCCCCCCTACGGGACACTGGATGGCAAGAGCCACCTTCTTTTCATGGAAGTAGAAGGGTGTTCAGCATTTATAGTAGGGCAAGCGTGAGGGTTTAGGAATGAGAATGACTGGAAAGATATTTTCCAGAGGGTTCATTTCAAGAATCCCAGGGGGAAGTTGAGGAGCAGAGCAGGTTTCTGTTGGAGCTAGTCTTGCCAAGTGTCCTCGGGGAAGCCTGTTATGGTGCTTGCATGCCCTATGGTTTGCAAACTGGTTTAGAGAACAGTGGTGCCATAAGGTCCAACGGTAACTTCCGCTCCCATCCCTTCTCCAAATCTTTGCTTAGGAATGCAGGAAGGTGAGATAGTATTCTTCAGGTTGTTTGGACTAAGAGAAAAATGGGAAAGTACATTTTCCCTGACTGGACTCTTAACTCTTAAGATAGCACCAAATAACCTAAGTCCGAGGGGACATGGAATTTTGGGCCTTCAAGTTTCCAGTAATATTATTTCTAGTGAAAACCTCAAATTCTCTAGTTAGTGCTGAGCCTTCTGCAACTCATTTCATTGCAGACCAGGATATGTGGGAGAATTGTGGCTCCTCCTCCAACAGCTTCCTCACGCAGATCGCCGGAAGACTGCATGTCATGTGTGATTTCACAGATACTGAGGGTAAAAGGAAACGCTCACATCTAAGTGGCACTGAAATCCCTCCAACATTTACACTCTTCTGTGAGTGTCTTTGTCGTTTTCCTTCAAATTATACATCCCAAAATGGGATGACTGTGTGCATAATTTACTAAAAATGGCAGAACAGTTGATTAAGTAAAACTCTTAACTAGCAAAGAGGCACAGTGAGCAGACACACATGTGTACTCTCTGTTCAAATGCATTATTTAAGGCAAATATATTCAAATACTCATTATTCTTTTTGCATAAGTGACTACTTTTTCTAACTGCATTGAACAAGAAGGTCATGCAGTGTCCCCAGATTTGAGTATGTCAAACACATCTTTACTTTCCTGTTTTCTTCCTTCCCTTGGCGTGTTTTTCTTTTTTTAATTGTCCAAGTTAAGCACATGAGGAGCTACTGACTGGTGTACTACGGGTAGAACCCATGTTGGTTTTGCAGGTTGAACTATTGCCAAGAATTTGCACCTTCGCCCACATAGTCTGAGTATTCCAGCTTTCCGCAGGCTGTTGTTTCCTCCACTCTGTTCCCTTTCAGATCCGGAAAGGAGAA